GCTAACAAAAGGTAAATCGTATTACTAAGAAAATGTATTATATTATATACTGTTCTCTCTAGATCTGACGATAAACGTTTATTTACTGTTTATTTGTATTGGTGAAGATCACAGGTAAGTTGTCACTGTCTGGTCTTGTTCGGCGATTTGTCGAATGTTCTCATTTACGTAGGCACTTGTTACTTCCTAGAAAAACAGCAGAAAAAATAATTTATATAGCACATAAACTTTATCACTTTAGTTATACCCTAGTTCTTTTTTGTGATTCTTTTGCATGAAGCTTAATTGTTATCTACAAGTATTACCTGAAAGTACTCCATATGAGTAGTACTTACAATTTCTTTTTCGCAGAGATTTATCGAAATCAAAAAAATATGAATGATTTTTTCGTACGCAATTTTTCTGGGACAAGCGAATCGACAATGAAAGCTTTTAACAATATTTGACTTTCAATAAACAATAAACATTAAACGTTATAATCGGGTGGCCAGATAAATTTATAAAATACACAGGAACTGTATTAATTAAAAAAACTGTTTATATTATATAAATAGATAAAAAACGTCACGTGCATTTATAACAAACATAATACTTGTTTTTGTTATTTTTCTAACTCCTCCGTTATTTTAGATCAATATATTTGCAGAAATGTTTCTAGAATTTTAAAATTTCTTGCAGTTTGCCAAATGCAGTTTGAATTTGGAAATTTCAGGCAGCTTTGGAACGCTGTTGGTTTGGCAATGCTGATAGTTTCCTGCAGATAATCTGTTTATTAACAGACAAGCAGGAATCAACTCTGTTGATGTTCGCTCTTCTGTAGTTAATGAGAACTCGCATCTACTCGACAATAGCCATCTGACCATCATCTTTACACAAGAGACATTTTACACAAGAGAACATAACATTATCTTTATACTACTACATTAACCTTAAACCTCTATTTCTCAGTATTCTTTTATTTAACCTATCCTGTGTTGTTCACACCGCGATTTTATCCCGAGAGACTTCTAATGGGAAGTTACGAGTTTATGTAAATATGGCAACTATGAAAAATCATCTGCTAACTAGGTACATATTTTAATGAAATTAAACAACATAATAATCAAAACAAATAAATTGTATGGCCAATATTTATGATTAAACATTGAAGGAGAGTTATATACTTACCTTCTGTCTCCGAAGCTAGATAATTATTAGTAAAAAAAATAAATTTATAATATATATAATACATTCAATTTAAAATATGTATATACGTCAAATTGAAATAGAATATGAATTTTTTTTATAATAACAAGATATTATTGTTATATCAATGTATGACGAAAACAATAGTACAAATTCTGATATAAATTGGAAATTGTAAATATCAATAGGACTATAACAAATTCTTGTTGAGAATCATTTTATTTTTTATAATTTAAGTTTTATAATGAACGATTTTGATTGTTTATATAAGTAAAACCAACCCCGGGACTGCAATAATATATATAATTTATAAAGGTAGGTAATGTTCGTGGGCGGATGCCTGTCCTTGGATGAACTGACTCTTGGACTTGTGCTTCCGACAGGCGCAAAGCATGGACTGTTCCTCGGTGCTTTCGCTGTCAAAAACAATATTTATTTGCATTACTCTATTCACTGCAGCTATCAAAAATACTATCTGTCAAATTGTAAGCGTGAACATTTTTATCATGCCCGCTACGTCAGTGCAATATGACTCGCCCGACGAGTATATTTAAAATGTGAATTGTTGTAACGATACTTGACGTTTATTCGAAATAAATGAAACGGGGTTTTTAATCTTAAAAGGACACTGGAAACAAACTTGAATAAAACAACATACAAAGAGGTACATAATATCCTGGAGAAATACAGTATTCGTTCGATTTTTTGCAATAAAGAGAAAGAGTGGGACTAACCGTGTAGAATAACAAAACATTTGTGTATAATATAAGTATGCTATCATTTCACACAAAATCAACTATGTAGAATAAAAATTGATCGTGTAGAATAAAAAGTCATCGTGTAAAATAAAAAACTGTTCGTGTAGAATAAAACTGATTTATTCTGGTGTATAAATCAACCGTGTAGAATATTATTACTGGTAATCAAATCAGTACATGTCGAAACTTTAAACATAACTGTTGCGAAATAAAATTTTATTTTTCATTGTGTAGAATGAATTTATCTAGATTTTTAAAAACATTCGTTAAGTAGAATTAATAACAGGCTATGTCTAATAAAAGTTGACACATTTTGTGAATATTCATAAACGTGTACAATGTTCATGTTTTTCATCTGATATGATAATAACCAAATGTGACGTGTAGAATCTTTTACAATGTATGTATTTGAAAAAGTATGTGTAGAAAAATGAGTTATGTAAAATATTCGAAATTTCATTCGTGTAGAATATTAAATTGATTATGTACAAATAAACGTGTTCAAAATTTAACACTTTTGTAATCAAATAAACTTTGATTATGTATGATTTCTATATGTATAATATTTCAAATTAATACATTTTCAATTTCATTTTGTGTCGAATAGTTACGTGTAGGAAAATATTTAACTTTTTTTTTAATTTATATTTTATTTATCGTGTTCAATAAATAATTTTCGTGTTTAATAAATAAAGTCAAATAGTTTGTGTTTAATCAAATCGTGTAAAATTGTTATGTGTACAAACCGAACCCTGCCATAAAAAGAATACGTGTCGCTTATTTTTTAGTCCTATACAACATTTCACAGTTACATTGGAATCGGTTCCACACACTTCGCTTACCTTCCTTGCCAGTCTCTCTCACGCTGAACCACATATCCTTCTCTCTCATTACTCTCGCTGTTTCTCCATCTCTCTTCCCGTGGGCATTTTCTAATGCCGTCTGGCATCGGTAGGAGCAGATAAGGAGATGCAACATACTGAGAGAAAATTGCAATGAAGTAATTTTTCCCGCTACAAAGTATAATATAAGCAAGTCAGAGTATATTGCACATTATCTTTAGAGAGTAAGAAAGAGAGAAGAAAGAGGGAGAGAGAGAGAGAGAAAGTACAGAGTATTGATATTGGATTAAGTTTCACATTCAACAACTATAACAATGCTCGTCAACATGACACTGAGATGGTTAGTCAACGATTTCAAGCGTACATTATAGGAAAATCGTCTGATTTGTAGATAAACAGAAATAATAAACCTTAGCCGGTGACCTGAAATGATATTAAAAACTTAACTGGTACTTGTTGATCCACTCAACTTATACGCTAATCTTGCAGAAATTTACAGTAATGGTACGGTAAGTGGAATGTACCTCCGGTTTTGTGATATCATCAATATATATTAATTAATTAGAAGTTATATAAGGTAATTAGAAGTTATATGAAGTTATATAAGGTTAGTATGGATGTGGATTATAGACTAAATCTTTATTTCTAATAAATATTGAGTATGATGACAGCCAACATTTACGGGACGTTCCTCTTGCAAAATTTAATTTAAATATCGGGTTCTACTTGTAAGAAGCTCAGTTATTGAAAAGTGAAATAATTAATATCACTATGACTCTATCTAGACATAAATGGTTTAAATAAGAACTTTTGTAGATGCACGTCTGAAATACGATAATTTTAACATATGGAACGGGGTTATGCGGTCGACACTGATAAAGTTGCCCGTGGCCATTCACATAAATCATTTAAAGGGGGAATGCGGATGACGCCAACGTTTCCACAATTGAATGGTGCACCAAATGTATGCACTAATAGCTCACGAATTAAAATGGAGGATAAGGAAAAAGTCGGATTTCAAAATCACTGTAACACACGCTTAACATTAAGGCGTTTATTCATGAAACTGTGGTAATGATATATGTGGAAAAAAATTATAAAATCACGATTCTTTCGTGCAAAATATAAGTATGTATATATAAAAAAATATAAGTAGTCTCGTACTACCAAATAAAAGAAAAAAAAATACAAAATTATTAATCCACTCTTGCACAGGGAGAGATTTGTTGCAATACTGTCGGGCAATCCTCTACCCAACGCCCAATACGTCGTACCGAAAACTAGTAATCCTAACAGGACTAGTAATAATGCCTAACTACATGCTTTGTGAAATAACGTCCGAACATGCAAGAAAGAGAGAAAGAAAGAGATAGAGAGGAGAGAAATACGGTACTATCCTAGGCTGGGAGTGCTGTTGCTGGCGACATTGTTCTTCATCCCTCACTACTCCTCCTATAGCTTCCGATCGCCTCTGGTTGTCACCGATCACATCTCGTACACGGTTCTTGCTGCCCGCTCCTAAATGATACTAGGTGATCACGACCCAGCCATAGCATATTTTCCACAAATGATCAATAAAATTCATGCATATCCCGCACACCGGCTATGTATCGGGAAGCGAAGAAAAAAGTCTTGGGCGAGGGCGTATGTCCGCAACCAAGGAAAACTGCTAGGAAATAGACGGAAACGAGTGCGCGTAGATCACGAAGCAATTAACTTGCTCCTATTTTCGATTTTTCGCTCGATCGTCGTCTCGCGTTTCTCTCCATCTCTCTCCTTTTTCATTCTTCGTTCTCTATTACTCTATTGTTTTGCTCAGTTGCTCCTCTTGACTCCATCAATTACCTGGCTCCGTTTTTCATAAAGAAAGAAAGATATGAGAGTGTATAGACATACGCATATTCTCAGTCTGGAACAATGCAAGGACGTCGACAAGAGTCCAACGGAAAACACTGGTCGAAGCGTAATTGTCCATTACAGATAATATAATTCTAATTTGTACAGCTACGCGCCACGTGTTTTTGTAATGTGAAATACGATGAAAAACAATAATATTTTGTAATTTTATATATTTTTTTTTTAATATTTTATTTTATTTTTTTTTATACAGTATAAATTTTTGATTAAACATTTGACTGGAATAAATGAATTTTTTTATTTAGATATATTTGTTCTTATGTTTATGATTTTGAATAATGTTATTATTGCATTTTAGGATTAAACTCCATAGTGACGTATATTACAATATATATTCTCCTTTAGAGTATATCACATTATGGTTCAGATGACATCGTTAAAACAAAATCGCATTGGTAAGTGATTAATTTGCAAAATTATATTTCTTTCTTAAAGTTATGATCTTAAAATATAGAAAATGAATGACAGAATCATGTTTTGATATATGCGTTTGTCGAATATGAATGCTAGTATACAAAGTCAAAATTTCTTTGAACGATTGTTCAAAGTTTGATATTGCTCTCTAAAAAGCCGAGTTTTGAAATTACAGTTACATTACAAATTGAAATTATCTTCTACATTTAGATAGATTGGTGATCTTAAAAATTTTTTTGGATTTTTTATTATTTTATGGTTTTTATGTTATTTAAGTTTTATTTTTTATTTTTATACTGAATTCTCGACGACTGACTTCTTTTAAGTTTTCTTTAAAGTTGACATCATAATTGATTTTGACAGGTGTATTGTTCATATCAATGAAGGTGATTACTTTAACCAGTTTATGTACGATTTTTGCTTGATCCCGGATCCAAACATGCTACACATCGGAGTGAGTGGTCCAGGTTCTGTATTTGGTTATGCATACTGTGTCAGAATGCAGCTGATATGGCCATCCAACATTATCGTCTCACCGCGGTCACCTACGGCACCGCCTAAACTCTTTCTCAAGCTATTCAAACGCTTTATTAACTTGCTATGGATGAGTGATCTACATTTCGTCAGAGCTCCACCATTCTAAAGGAAAACACGTAGGTAAATGATGCCCTTGCTGGAACAAAACATTGAAATCAGCTCTGGAACCACGGAATCAGATCGTGGGCATTTTGAGCTTCACTAGGATGCAGCTGGATAAATTGGAAAGGCAGCCAGTCATCTTGCCCTCCTATCTAATGTGCCGAACATTAATATTCGAGAATTGTAGTTCACTGCAGATTAGGATATCTCAACGCTGGACTGGGTCTGAAATAAAAACCTGCTTCGTATACGTTTTACATTAAGGTCTTTCGCTTAATCTGGGAGCCATCAACCATTAAGAGAGTACTACTTTTAGCGATTGCTCGGCTATTCAACCCAATGGGCTGGTTGGACACCATATTGATCCAAAACAAGATCCTGATTTATAATTTGAATCTATAATTTCAAGACAGTAAGCTTGATTCATTTTTCATATCATCGAATTCCATTAAGCCATGCTGGTTTCTGTATGAGTTACCCGATGCAACTTTCTCATCTCAGCCAAAACTAAGGTCACCTCGATCAAGACCGTCAACGTTTTCTTTTCTAGAGTTATGCGTTGACGTGTTGCTGGCCAGGCTTATTTCTACAACCTTGCCCAGTTCGAGCCAGTCGCCAACTAAGTTTTATTCTGGTATAAATCCACGGTTAAACTAGCTTGGTTGCGTGAGCATCTTTACGGTGGAAAATGTTTGTTGCCAACCGTGAGAGTGAGAAGAATCCAGCAGATATATAGTGATATATATATAGTGATATCGCGAGTTTCTTTTCACAACAATTGTAGAATCTCTGATATGACATTGTCAGGATTGGTTTTCTTGAGTGTCTCAGAAACGCACAATTCGGTTGGATGAGGTGCATGAGAAAGTCCAATCAGTCTTCTCTCACGTCATTCAAAGGGAGGATTGAATGACATTTGCGAAAATGTCATCAAATTCCTTCGAATACACCAGATCTGGTCTGTGGCTGTGAAAATGTGTTGGCCTATGTAATTCTTGTAATCATTTCGAAAACGATAAAATTACTGTATACGATTAAACATACCAAGACTTTTAGTTTGATGGAACTTCTTATTCATAAAAAGTCTAATTCTAAAATAATTAACTTGCTGGACGAAGAAAATTCTATGAAAATTCTTGAAAACAGCAACACTTATTGATAGTGCTCTGTTATGAATAAAATGGAAAATATCGAAATATAAATGTCAATTCAAAATCAACGTTGGTACCAACTTATCTCTTGGCAGTACTAAAACTCGAAATTCTATTGGTGTAAGTGATCTTTTACCTCGCTACAATGTTACCAGAAAAAACATCATTCGATATGTGTACTGGGACTATCCAAATGAAATTGCCGATCGATAGAGGTTAATTATTATTACCAAACAAGTAGTTGGTAATCCTATTCATACTTATGAAATTTACTCAATCATTGAAGATTTATGCAAATCAGGTTGTATATATTAAGAGAATTCTTACTATCTATCAGTATTAAAATAAGTGTCGACGTATTTAAAGGTAAATTAGGTAAAGAGAGGGACTCCCAAGGTCTTGCTGGCATACGGTATAAAATTACTTCAGAGAATCAATTTGACGTAACATAATTTATATATTCATTACCAATAAAGTTTCAATATTTATTTTCACGCCTAAACATTGCCTCATTATTTTTTTAAGCCCGAATTATCCTCACGGAACTAAAAAAAGTCCGAGTGAATTCACGGTTGTGGGGTAACCTCCATCTATGGAGATACGCTGCATTAAGCATGCCACCTCTAGTGCATGCCTATCTCTAGCGTTACATGGCGTTCCTGCCAGTATAATTCAAATGGCCCGTCACACAACTGCTTTCTCCGCTTTCTCACCGTTTTATAGAGATCACTAAAATAGAAAATTTTTTAATTATACTAATCATTGTTTTATTTCTATAGCATAAACGATTATACTTGCTAATATACAGTCACACGCGTTAACTCTTACACTGTTGTCGGTTTCCACTTTTGTACAGCCAGCCACATCATGATACTTTAAAATCCGCCGTATATGTCTGTCGGTCTACTACCTGTGTATTTAATAAGAGACAATCCTAAGGACCTGGTAATCGCAAAGTTAAAAGCCTCCCTTTCACTCACTCCCTTTCCTCCGACATAAACCTTTCTCCGGAAGTACTCCAACTAAACAGCAATATCAATCCGCTCGATACCATAAAGAAATGAAACTTCAAGTTCGCCGTGAAAGACGGATACTCTTTCATCGACTGCATAAAAGAACTCCAAGCCACATACGGGCTATCTCAGGCTCAACTTCTACAAGGAATCCCGAAAATGCTCAACAAGAACCCTCTCAAATGGGACAGAAATAATCACCAAGCTTGGTCCTCTTGGTCCAATTTCATCTCCAGCTTAAAAGCAAGCTTCTAGCTACCCAACGCCGAAGATCAGATCTACTGTCGCAAATAGAAACAAACGGAAAGGATCCGTTTCTTCTCAACATACATGCAAATGTTAATGCGATACCGAGAAATTTTTACTAAAGAATAATGATTGAATCGGGTATACCAAAACATTGGGCCATCTACACTGCGCTCGAGAGGACCTAGATTCCATCAACGATCTAGTAAGAAGGTATAAAGAGACAAGAGATTCGAAGTCCTCCAACAATAAATCACAGCCTCTTACACACCCGCATACATACCCAAAAAATCGCCATTCGCAGCCGCCATCGGTCCATACTCCCCACTAAAATGCTGCTGGAAATACAAAACAGAGAGATACAGTCATTGGAACTGCCCTAACCCAGGCAGACTCTTCTGCTCATACTGTGAGAAGGGCCGTACATTGACCAAGAATTACAACTGTCCTCGTCCGGGAAACGACTGTGGGAGAGATTCAACTAGACCATTGTCTGCCTCATCCTACCGACCAGATTACCGTTCCCATAGTTATCAACGAGCATACTATCCGGCCCTCATAGATACAGGCGCAGTATCCTCCTTCCTAAACAAACAGATAGCCATACTATGCTTCGACAACTCCTGGCAATCCATACTAGTATATCTCACGGCAGCAATGGTGAACGAAACTAACAGGCTAATCAACCAAAATGCCGAGAGCACATTCGAACTCCTCAGAAAAAAGATCTCCCACTCATTCCACGTAATAGAAGCTTTACTTCACCCAGCCTTACTAGGCACAGACCTATTACGAAAATTAGACATTTAAATCACCATCCTTAACACTCTCTTACTACCAAGCCCGAATCCTCCAAAAAAAAACACACGCACGAATGTCTACTCATAATTAGCTCAGACCCAACCCCATGTCAGAGCTAAAAACTAGCAACCAGAACCAAGACTGGAAACTCCGTCACTTCCTAGAAAAAGAACTGCTACACTTCAAACCATCAATGGACCAACACCATGCAATGCATTATCGACAAAGAAATATCAGTAATGCAAGCATACAATGTCATCGAGTACTCCATCAGTCCATAGAGCTCCCCGGTGTTATCGTTAAGGAAAAGGATGGAAAGCCACGCTTCTGCATGGACTTCAGGTAACTAAACAAGCAAAGGGAAAGGAATGCATACTTATTGTCGCCAATAATCGTCATTCTGAACAAACTCTGAGGAGGAAATTACCTGTCAACAATTCGCTTACATCAGCAACATCATAGTGATCGGCGAAACATTCGAAAGACACTCAGAACACCTAAAAATTGTATTCAACCGTCTACACGGCGCAAACCTCGAAATGAATATCGTCAAATGCAAATTTTGCTCCAACTCACTCATTTAACTATGCCATCTGATCGACGAAAAAGGCATCTACACCGACCCATGCAAAGTACAAGCAATCACAAACTTACCTAACCCCTACATCAGTTAGACAATTACCGAGATTCCTAAGGATAGTATCATGGTACAGACGGTTTATCCCTAATATCGCCAATCTCACCGATCCGTTCAATCGTGTGCTACAAAAGAAAACTTGCTGGAATTGAACTAAACAGTATAGCGCTTTTAACAAACTAAAGGAACGATTCATCTAAACTCCAATAGTGGGCTGACCCAACTTTATCAAGCCCTTCACACTACATGCGGATGCCAGCACTTCGAGCCAAGGAGCATGCTTTATTCAAACAATTCTGGAAAAGGAACCTAAAATAGCCTACATCAGCCGAACGCCAATAAAAGCAGAAAATAACTACTCGATAACCGAACTGGAATGCCTGGCGGTGGTACGATAAGTTTTGTAATAATGGAAAGAAGGGAAATAGTGAGAGATGGAAATTCACTTAATTTTCATTATATTCAGCAACGTTTCGTCAACAGATTTGCTGACC